ATTGAGGAATGAAAATTCAGTAAAGTCAAGGAAATGTGTTGACAGTAAAATAAAAGCGAGGTTGACTCATCGGCCGATTACATTCGTAAAAGTCGATTCATGCATAGAACAAAAGCATATATGATTATAATAACATTTTATGTGCTTCATTTGTCAACGCAAATAGTTTATTGATGGAGATGCATCTCTTTCTTTAGGACATGTGTTCATGGAGAGCCTTTAGTTTGGGTCCATAAGAACTTGATCGAAGATCTTCACAAAGATCGTCCATCTCAGTTGGGAAACACTTCTCTTTGAAGACTTTAAACGCATTTCTTACACAGTAAAAATTTACACCCGGGTTAGCAGTAAAAATGTGAGACAAGAATATCATGAGGCAAAAAAAACATAGAATAACAAAACAAATGAACTAAAATGAACTAAAATGACTTGAGATATCCTCGAGAAAAAACAAATGGACAATCCAAAATTTGAATTCCAAATAAATAACATGTGTGCTAATCACACAGTTCTATAGACGGTTTCCATATCGTAAAACTAAAAAATGGGGAAAGAAAACGGCGCTTCATTGCTCCCAAGGTTCATTGATCAATGATCAATCTCTCGCACAATGTGAGCCTCATCAGCGCTTCAAATATCATCAACAACAAACAGACACCGCCGTCAGAGTGTCACTCTGCACATCTCCCGCCTCTCTTCGTATAGGTCATGATTGGTTGATTTACTTGAAGTAAAAAAAAAGTAAATAACAACTAAAATGGTATGCAAAGATCAAAGATGAATGGGGGGGTAAGGCAGTGGAACAAAACATCAAACGAAATCCAACGACAAAAATCGATGTCGAGAATTTTACAAATCACATGCATCAACTGCACACAACACACCATATCACACGGCACAGCGAGCCGATAGAATTTCGTTGAGAGAGTGATTTCCAGGAAAATGAGCGAACAAACAAATGAACGGAACGAAGAAAAACAAATCAAACTGCGCAGCAAAAAAAAAAGCACACACAATATAATCTCGTCGAAATTATTGACATGGACGTGGTGTCGACGTAATTTTCAATGTCTGCTCGTTGCCGCTCTGTTGTCGTTGCTGTTGTTATTATTTTTTGTTTATGCTCATGTTTTTTGTTGTTGTTATTTCGTTTGTTCGCGTTCATTCGCGGTACACATGTAAAGTGGCCATTTGTAAATCGTAAAGTAGGCCTGTGTTATTTTTCTCAGTTATTTATATTATGCCCTTGTAACGGATCTTATACAATAGTTTTGGAGTTTTGTGTGTTTTGTTTTGCTCTTTTTTTTACTGCTGTTGCTACTGCTGCCGCTGCTGCCGCTGCCCATTGTTGTTGTTAGTGTTGTTCGAAGGAAAACGGTTCTATTGTTTTCGCGAAATAAGAGACACGCGAACTAGACAGCGACTAGCAATTACGATACACAACACAGTTTTGAGTGTGTGTGTGTGTGTGCTTGGCGCCCGCGATATTTCTAAAATTTAATTCACGAAACGTGGTCGCCGTCAACGCCGTTACTGTTGCCGTCGCTTTTTTTTCTCCTTTTTCCTCTGCCTTCTTTTTCTTTGTCCCTCTCTCTCTCTGTGTGTGTGTGTGTGAAATTTTTTTTGCGGAACTCCAACTATTCAATTTGCAAAACCGTAAGCTCATTGGCGTGAAAGCCTTTGACTCTCTGGCATTTATATCGATCGAATTTCAGAACCAGCAAAGAATGGGCGCAGAGTGAGCGAGTGTGTGAGAGAGAGAGTGAAAGAGAGAATCAGAGCCAGAGAACGCAATGACTTCCTTGAATGAAAACTTTTCGAAAAATTCACACCATGCACCACATAATGTGCACCATGAAATGTATATTATTACCCGATTTGCGTTTCGTTGGTGACAAAGTGAATTCTTTTCGCTTCGATTGCTCGGCGGCTGCTGTTGTTCGTTGCCGCGTTGTTGATTTTTTTCTTTCTTCCATTCTTTCTTTCTTTTCCTTCTATTTTGAGCTCTTTCGCACTTGTTTTTGCTTTCGTTCTGAGCCGCGCTTAATAAGCTTATGGCTTCTCTCGTAACCAAAGAATTTATTTGCAAAAAGAAAAGCAGCAACGAACGAACGAACGAACGAAAAAAAAACACAGAGGAAAAATAAATATGTGTGTTGTAGCGAGAAAAGTGCATATTAGACACTCAAACTCTTTGGCTGGGTATTTATTGCACGGCGCTGTTACATTCGGGCGCCGTTCAGTTTTTGTCAGTCTTCTTTGTGTTTTTTTTAAATTCCCTCGGTTGTTTCATTCTTTGCCTCGCTTTCACTCTTTCGCTCTTGCTCTCTTTCACTGGGGTTTTGCCTCGCTCTGTGATGCAATCGAAAGGCATGTGGTTACACGTCTCGATTCGACGTGGCGACGGGACAGAGAAAGAGAATCATCATACCAAAGTTGGTATGTGAAAAACCAACACAAATCAACGAAAATAAATTGAGGGTTAAAATGCGCTCTCTCTCTCTCTCTGTCGCCCTCTCTCGCTTTTTGTGCAACAACAACGCACCAAGTACATGGTTGCAGCCGCACAACGAATCAAAAGCAACACGTTCTTTTTTTTCGCAATTTCTGTTTCAAAATTCTATCCCAAAAGCTAAATCGCTTAATGCCATTTGCAAAAATAGAATTCGATGAATGCGATACACACACACACACATACACACACGAGCACACGCACGTTGAGGAAATCTAAATGCTAATTTTAATCGGCTTAGTGAGCGCATCGATATATAGATTTGTCGGAACTGTAGGAGAGAGGAAAAGTTCGGGCCATGCTAGGACCAACCGGACCCACACGACAACACAAAATAACACAAAAATACCAACAGCCCAAGCGACAAATGATAAAAATAAGAATGAATAAGAAGTCGCAAAAGGTATTTTATGATATTTTACACTTTGACATCGAAAAGTGATACCGGTGAGCTGACCGGGCCGAGCCGACACAGTATGAGACGGAACTGAAAGAGTCAGTGTGACTTTTCGTGCATGTGAGAGAGAGGAAGACGGAATCCGATAAGCGCTTCTTAATCACAGAATAAAAGCGGCTCACAACAATTATGAGCCGTTCTCACGATAATTGTTCGATCCGCTGGCGTGCCTTTCTCTCTCCACTCTCTTCGATCATTTAATCGCATGCAAATTCCAAAGCGCATTTCAAATCGACAATTGACATTTTTTACTCGAGTACAAAAATCAGCAGAGTCAAAAACTGCACGGCTCGTTCCCATTCCCATTGTTGTTCTTTCTTCACTTGTTTCAGTGTTTTTGTCGTTGTGTGAAAGCAATTTGCTTGCCTCTGATTTATTTGCAACATATTTTTTTTTCATCGTTTGGCGGATATCATACAAAGTTTCCATCGCAGATGCGAAACCGAATTACATCCATGTTTTTATCAGTTCTCTTTGTCACTCGATTCGGCCAACCGTGCCGAATTGGCCGAATTATATGCGAGAAGGAAGAAAAAACGGTTGCGAACAAACATTTTGCAGCTAGACAAAACATATCCGTTAACTACGTCTCCCTACCCGTTGTCGTCATCGTCAGTTTGCTCCTTTCGAGAGAAATAAAGAGGGAGGGAGAGAGAACGATCTTTAATTCCATCGTTGTTCAAATTGTTTCGAGTTTTTCACTTTCCGAGAAGAAAAAAAGGATTGAAAACACACACAAAGAAATGAAAATAAAAGAAAAAAAAACGAGGCGTAAAATTACCAGCGAGAAGAATGAAAATTGTATCGTCGAAATGATGAAAAGAATGAAAGCTACAGTAAGAGAAAAAGGTGCCGAAACACCCAAAAAGTCGGCGTTTGTGTGTCTCGAGAAAAAAAAATATTTTCGCAATTTTTCCGGACAGCACAGCATCTCGACTTCGAAATAATGCAGTAAGGAATTGATACACAACGAGAGACGATGAAGAAACAGGAGATGGAAATAAAACGGTTGCTCGCTTTCAACACCTCGTATTTTACTCGTGAAAATGAAATTTATGAGACAAATCACGTATAAATGTTTACCGGCGTTTATATGAACAACACTGACACAAATCAAATCGAGAAGACACCGATTTTTGTTTGTTTCTTCGGCCGTCCGTCCGTCCGTCTCTTTAGTTTGAACTGTCGTAATTTTGCAGTCGAAAAATGGAAAGGAAAAAAAATATATAAATAAAAACAAGCCCACATTACATGATGGGGTTGCAAATGCTTGCAAACAATTGACTTGGTGTATCTTATTTTGAAGATGAATCGTGTTTGGCCTAACGAATGAAACGCTCGAAATAAGGGTAAGGCGTCGGAAAACATGCATTTTCATATATGTCAACCAGAGAAATACACACTCAGAGAGAGAGAGAGAGAGAGAGAGAGAGAGAGAGAGAGAGAGAGAGAGAAACAAAATTACCGAATGAGAGAAACAAAGAGATAGACAGAGAGACCAACAACGAAATATGTGTGTCTGAGAATACAAACGTGAATTGAGATTGTATGAATGAACCATAAACAGAAGATTGAATAGAGAAAAAAAAGAGTTTTAAAACGAGGACGATAACAACGCGAATGATGCAAAAGGACAGAAATAAACATAAATTACCGAGGCATTTTCGACGAGTGTATGTTGTACACGTCAGGTTTTGTTTTGCTGCTACTGCGATTTTTTCGCTCTTGTAGAACGGTTTCTGGGGTTCGCATGTAGTTTACACTCTTGGTAGCTGGGATTCGATGTTGTCGTCGTCGTTGTCATCGTCTTTGCCCCGTTTTATTAGTCTGCTTGAATGCCCTTTTCCACGTCTTTTTCTTTACAAATAAGTGCAATGTAACATTTTTGTTGATTTTACTGATAAATTTATGTTTCTTTTTTCTTCATTCTCTTTTTTGCTCCTCCTATACTGCGCCACACACACATCATTCAAACATTCGATGTGATTTTATTGAAAACACAATTTATGGCCGGCTTTGTGCAACACGTAGATGTGGAATGGGCATCATACAATATTGGCATATTCTTGTGTACACAATGTGCATCCGTTCATCGCAGCATCGGTGCACACATATCAAAAGTCAAACACTTAAAGATGGACCGATGGGAGGACAGCGAAGTTGAACGCATGAAAGAGGTTGGCAACTATAAGGCTCGACTCAAATATGAACAACGTGTACCCGCCTGCTATCGACGACCCACCGAACATACACCACAGTAAGTAGAATTTTTAGCGATTTTTTTCTTCTTCTTTGAGTTCATGACAAATCGAGCAAACGTCGAATTTGTTCTTTTTTTCAACCTTTTCTACGGACTTTTCTTAATAATTTTCTTTCGACATTTTCAATTTTGATGAATTTTCTTCGACATTTTTCGATCCCTTTTTCTTTGAATTTTTTTTTGATTTTTTTTTCATTGGAAAAATTTCATTTTCTTTGGAAAATGTTCATTTCAATTGGAAAATGCGCAGTTTGATGTCATTTTCTCAATCAAGTTTCGTGTCATTCAATCATTTAGCCAAATCCACAACCAGAGGTGGACAGTTTTTCGTTTCAATCGAATAGATTTTTTTAGCTGATTCAAACCTAACTGAAAATTGTGATTCAAGGCCGAAACGAAATGTAAAAATCTTTATATATCGTCGAATTTTCCACAAATTTCTTTCGAAAATGTCGTAAATGGACCAATTTATATTTTTTTTTTTAAATGAAATTCGTTTTACGTTCTCAATTCGGAGAATTGAATCAAATTGAATTGAAATTGCTTTTCAAAGTTCTATCTTCACCTTTACCATTATAAAAAAAAATAAAGACTGAAGTTCTAAAATCCGTATAAAGTCTCTTTCTCCTTGTTAAAAGCACAATTTAGTGATCTGAATAGTCCGATTATGAAAACTATAGTACTAAAACTACGGCTGCTTAGCCAAGATATAGAGCAAGATCTCTAAAGACTATAACTCAAAGCTTTAACGTTAAGAGTTCGGAAATTGCGATATTTAGAGCTAAAAAAAATGCGACTTTTATTTGAGTTCTTCAACAAATTCTCCAAACATGATATAAATATGCTGTTTGCATCATCAAATCTAATTGAATTGAACCCTTAAACGGAAATTTAAAATGCATTCAAATGAATTGGTATCCAGTAAACGACAGCTCGATTTTATAGTATTAAAAATGCACATTTAATTGAATTCTTTGGAATGGAAAAGAAAAAGAAGCGAACAAAAGACTCGGAATGGTCAAAAGCAATCAAATCAATGCTGACAAATGATGTGTTGAGTGCCGATCCGGTGTAGTTGTGCATGTGTCGTGTCTCATTGCAAAATAGATAGAGTGAGTGCATTAAAAGGCGAGCAATTTATCTATAATTAACTGTGTGTGCATTTGTGATGCTAAATATAAACCGGAGAGACCCTCTTTAGCACCGTATGTCCGTTCAAGTTGGTTGAGGAAGGAAGTGACATATAAAAAAAAAAGAAAGAGATTCTTGTCGTCTCAATCGGTTGTTATTTCTCTTTATTCTTCTTCCTCCCAGTTGTTGTTGTTTCGCTCATAATTTGATAAGACTGAATGACGTCTAACCGTGCATAAATAAATGCAATCGTGCTCTGATTCCGGCTCCGACAAATTGACATATATGAACTGCTGGCAACTGTTGCTCAAACGATCTCCGAGTTATATTCATTAAAGACACATATATAAAAGACAACAACGCATCCGGTTTCCAATTGAAAGAAGAATGAAAGAAAAAAATAACAGACAGAAATAATAATAGCAGCGCAGAACTGAAGAAGAAGAAGAAGGAGTAGAATAACTGAGCAACAAACACACAATGTCATATACATATTGAAATGTAAATAGACATCGTGGCCAGTGTGAGGTTCTCTCTCTCTCATTTTGCCCGATTCATTCTTCATGTGATTGTAATCAAATTGATTCAGACAGAGAGTCACTTCATTCATTAGAAACCATTCGAGAAAAATTCTTTACAAACGAACTGCGCGCAACGTAAAGCACACATGTAACGGGCTATATGGTAACAATGAACCAAACGAAGTAGTGAGTGCGATTCAATAATACGTTTAAGGGACGAGAGAAAAAGAGAGAGACGTATTGCATCAATCTCTTCGACTGTGTTTGGTTGGCTTTTTTCATGGAAGTCATGCGTTATAACAATGGTCCGTAGTAGTAGAGATTATCATCATACATTGATCTCTGGGCACTTTGAGCTCAACGAGAGAGAGAGAGAGAGCACAAACGAAACCAATTCGACAAGATAACAACAACACCAATGAAATATGGAATGATTTTTTTTTCGTTTGTTTGTTTGTGCTTTTTTTAAATGAATTGTTTTCGTTTGCGTCGAAAAAAAAATCAGCAGCAACAACAACAACAACAACAACAACAAGCAGACATCGAAGCACGCAGCCGATGGCTGAACCCAACGAAACCAATATTAATAATTTGCATTTTAACACGCGTGCATGTCGCGCTCGTACACATGACCGAAATTGAAATTTCGACGCTTTAATCATTGTCTACTTTTTTTCGGCTTTGGTGGCGTGCATATGCGCGCAGCATGTGTGTGTGTGTGCTTTATTTTAATTTGGCAATCAACAAACAGGAAGGAAGCACCTCACTTGACCCGTATACGTTGTCGCAGTCGTTGCCATTACTTCTCTCGTTCTCTCTCTCTCTCTCTCTCTCTCTCTCTCTCTCTCTCTCTCCCTATCTCTCTCTACTGGATTCATTCGCTCCCGTTTTTTTTTCTCTGTACGATTTTTGTTTTTTTTTCGCTACGCTTTTTCGTTTGCTTGCCGTCTTTTTTTTTGAGTACGCTACATCCCGGGTGAAAATATTTTGACTAACTAGCTGATTGAATCGATGGAAAGTGATTCAATGCATAGCTTGGAATGTTGTATGAAAAATGTTTTAAAATTTGAAATTTCGCATTAAAAATTGTTGACTGAAACGTCAAATAGACTCTTAATGACATAGATCACATTTTGAATGAAGAACTATCAGGCGACTGGAGCTAACTGCAGTCCTATATTTTGTTTGGTATAATCATTTTTATTCAGTCATTAACCAGCCAAATTGGACTGGTTACTCAATCGAAAAAAAATTTCATACGGGATTTCAACACGATGATAGAGAGGAAGAGAGAGAGCAGTCGACGCGATTCATTGCCGAGTTGTTTACGTGCCAAACGGCCCGTCTCTATGTGTACTTGCACTTCTTCTTTTTATATCTGTCGCTTTCTCTCTCTCTCTCTCTCTCTCTCTCTCGCTTATTCTGTATCTTCATCACTTTCTCAACTTTGAGCGATGGAAGAATATCAAAAAAAAAAAATGATTCCACCCAAAAGGTAGACGAGAAACGAGCGCACCGTGAACAAAGCGAAAAGCATAATTAATTTCCTATTTTGTTTGCTAAAATGTAATCAAAATGACCGTTATTCAAATTAAATTTATGTCATATATTTCTTTTTATCGCTTGCTTGCACTTGCTCGTTCTCCGTCTCCGTTGGCTTCAGCTCTAGCTTTTATCCACTAAATCGTTGACCAGAAGATGAAGCTCCTTCAAGCAAATTTAATTAGTATGATTTTCAACGCGGCCAACAACAACAATAACAAAATTGTCCAATTTGTTTTTTTTTACATCATTCAGTTTCCGTAAATCACAAGCGCTCTTCTCCTTTCCGCTCGACGAAATAGACGTGCGCTAGAGAGAGAGAGAGAGAGAGAGAGAGAGAACGCCACACTTTTTTTTTCTATCGTTATCTCTAAACGTAAATATGCATTCAATGGAATCGTCACGCTAACCATTTATCTCGATTGCTTATCGAAGCAAAACGTTGTTGTGGCGTTAGACACACTCGCACACATCAGCCCAAAACTTGTTTACAAATTGCGAACTCGAACCACAACAAGATTTCATTCTCACACACGCACACACACAAATCTCCCGTACAAACGGTGAATAATTTGTCGCGAGACGATACAGCATTGAATCGGTTTAGATTTGGCCAAATCTATCGTGTGGTTTGTTTTTTGACAATGTCTTTAGTTTTTTCAATCGTTTTTTTCGTCCTCATTTTTTATTTGCACTCAATTCAACTCAATTTTATTCACCGCCAAATACTGGCTGCATTCGGGTGGTACATATTTAGTGCATCGTCGATTTTTTTGCTGGCTCACGATGGATCACCGATTTACAGGTGTGAGTGTGTATGTGTGTGTGTGCGCATTCCTTTGTCATTGATTGAGGTGCGATTTCATAATGGAAGACAGAAATTGTCCCATAATTATCAGACAATTGATTTATTTATGCGGCGAACTAATGTTTCATTCTGCCATCGTTTCACACGAACGAATTCCGGAGAAAAGCAAATGGAGACGACTGAAATTTATTTCGATAATTCTATCACCAGCACTAAGTGCGTATTGTGCTGAGTGCCATCCATGGTTATAGCATTCTGCATATTGAATGCAAAACCCAAATTTCCTAGGGGCAATTCATTATTCGCGAATGCCATTCAACTGTTGTAGAAAAACAGGCATTCGTGCCTAATAAGCACTGGCTATTATGCCACGCATTTGCATTTGGTCAACGAGCATTCATGCGGCAACACCTATATAAAATGCATTGATACATTCGCACAAGCATTTGCAGCCATTCGCGATTGCGAACACAAGCACAAGCACAAACACAAACATCACTAATTTTTTGAGGATTTGAAAAATTATTCGGATTCATTTGTTATCAATGCGAAATTTAGTCATTCGAAAATTGCTCTAAATCACATAAAAGTTGTACGAGCCCCAAAAAAGTGAAGTTTATAAATTAATTTTGATTTTAAATAAGCTAAACATTAACTTTATTTACCATTTCCATAAAATATCTCTACACTTGTCAAACGATCGGTAGTGGCATTTGTGCACTCGTAACACTACTCGCTTGAAAAGCACACTCATTTGCAGATGGCATTTTCGGGAACATTTTCGAATGCTTGTATTTAAATACATTGAACGGTTGCATTCGCATTCGAATGCATTGCAAATGTTTCTATTTAAACGCATATGAAGACATTCGCCCATTCGCAAAACTAGCCCCTAGCAAATTTCATCGTTCCAGTCATATTAAGATGTGATTCACAAACACAACATTCTACTCAACAACAACAAAAAAATCGTTGGAAGGGAAAAAAAGAAGGAACAATTTCGGTTCATGTTCGGAATTGAAAGGAAAATGTCAAAGCGATTAGAAGTGCAAATTTCCTACTTACAACAGTTCTAAACTTCTGCGAACCGCAAAATTCTAAGCCAAACCAAGTCCATTTGTGTCGATCGAAGCCGATAAAATTCAATTTTATCCGAAAGATTGTTACGCTTACGTGTTCCTCTCAAAACAGTCGAAATTTAAAAAAAACCATTTTAATCAATCGAAATATCGGAGGGAAGGAAACAAGACGTAGAAAGATAGCATGCGAACAAAGTGGAATCGCACTAAATGTCTGATGAAATCCCGTGGAATTGTTAAGTAAACGTCATAATTAGCGTTCGTTTGGACGATAACAACAAAATGCGCAATCATTGATCGGCTAGTCGCATTGATATGTATGTGGCAGCTCTCTCTGCCTCCCTCTCTCTCTATCTCTCTTAGTACAAAAGCGCAATCAGAAAAAAAAGCTCAATCACGCACTCGCATCATCATTCTTTGCTAATTGAACAGAATGTACGTGTACATATGGAAAATAAAAACAAAAATAATAAATACCGCCGCAATTATCACAGTCATTTGATGTGATTTTAATGCCAAGCGCAGATACAATAATCGTTTTTGTTTTCATAAATTCTAAAATTAAAGACGCATTATGAATGGAAAGAAAAAAAAACTGTGATAGCCATCTTTGAAATGTGAAACGAAAGCGAAGCGTTAAAAATAAATGGAAACAAAGTGGCTTGGCTAATAAAAAGCGGTTTCAAAGTGATAAACCATACAAGGTTTCGATTTAATCGAAAATAATTCCGATGTTGCATGAGATTACAGATTTTTGTTTTGTTTTTGCGTTTAGCAAGAATGATATTTCAATTTTTTGTTGTCGCATTTGAAACCCATTCTAGGCCTAGCTATGAGGCCAAAATGATGGTGTTTATTGAAAAAATTAGCCGATTTTTATTTTGCGCGGATGAGCAATTCGACGAGTTAAAACGACACACGAAAAATGCCCGAAATTGAGAATAACATATATGAAGGCAATAAACTAGAAAACTCCGCTTATCGGACACGTGTTACACGCGCGCGCGTTCATGCAATTAGATAGCGTAAAATTATCGCACGAAATTCGTCGCAATTCTCTCTCTCTCTCTCTCTCTCTCTCTCTCTCTCTCTCTCTCTCTCTCGTTGGTGTGTGAAGAAAAATACACATCGTACAAAGTGCCACACGCTTATAATCTCGCATTTATTGTATACAGAATACGAAGTGTAAAATTGTGAGGCGCCGTGGATTTCGTGCGGCAAAATTCAGTACTAATTGGTGTGATTGAGATTGAAATAGCCGTAAGTGATTTCGACATATTGTGAAATACCAGAAAATCACACCAAGTAGTACTGAATTTTGCCGTACGAAATCCACGGCGCTCTACAATTGTTTGAAATTTGACAGTAAACGGGTGCAAAGTGCGGTGTGCAATTGTTTTGACTCTGCGAACGGCGACGGCGACGGCTGATGATAAAATCGTGTGAAATTTATCTGTTTGTACTTTGTTTTTGTTTGGAGTGGAGAGTGAATTAAATTTGCCGAATTGATGTGTTTACCATTTACCTCTATGAAATTAGCTAGTGTTGAGTCAACACTGTTTACTTAAATTGGTCAGCGGCGCTGACTCAGCGCCATTATCATCATTTATTTTTAATTTATGAAATTAAAAACAAAAAGCAATTGATGCCTTCCAAAAGGCTTTTGAATTCAATTTCCAATGATCTAATGAAAGTCCCATTTTCTCTCTATTTCTCGCCCTTTTCGCCGCTTAGGGTATTGCTGGAGCAATACATTCGTGCCAAGTATGAGCGCTTGGAATTCTGTCACATTGAACGGCCAAGCTATACATCCGGCTACATGGATGGATTTCTAATGAAAAAAGGCAAAGAAGACCATCGCTATCAGATGCGAAAATTTATCTTAAGCGAATCCGATGACACACTCAAATACTATGTTAAAGAGAGTAAAGAACCAAAGGCTGTACTCCGTCTATCGGAATTGAATGTGGCATTTGCGCCCGCCAAAATTGAGCACAAATCATCCATGCAATTGACATTTTTGAAAGACGGTTCAACGCGACACATCTATCTGTATCACGATGATCCCGAAGTGATAGTTAATTGGTATATGGCAATACGATGTGCAAAATTGCATCGACTCCAAGTGGCATTCCCCAGTGCCACCGAATCCGATTTAATCGGTTTGCTCAGCCATGATTTTGCCAAAGAGGTTTGTTCATCATTTTTGATTTCTCTGTTTTCTTTCGCGGTCAGTGTTTTCTAAATTCGGCTTTTCAATTCCAATAAAAAAAATATCAAATAGGGTTGGATTTTTAAAACGGGACCTCGACAATCGGACGGCTATAAACGACGTTGGTTCACATTGGATAATCGAAAATTAATGTATCATGACGATCGTTTGGACGCATATCCAAAGGGTGAAATCTTTTTGGGCAACCATTTGGATGGCTACAGTGTACGGATCGGTGTTAGTACAACAAGTGCGAAAAATCAAGGATATCCATTCACATTATTTACACCGGAACGTATCTACAATTTATCGTGTGCCACCGAACAAGAGCGCGACGAATGGATTCGAACAATACAACATGTATTAGAACGACCACTTACACCACAGGACAGTTCGGGTTAGTGTGGATTATTGTGTTATTAATATGTTTCTTTTTTTTCATTTTGTAGCCCATTTTTCCCCAATTTGTTCTCCTTTTTTCGATTTAGAGCAACGAAAGCGTCGTTGAAAAAAAAAAATTCAGAAGAAAAACAACTCCAGTCACTTTTTGACTTCAGTTGACGCTTCAGTCAATTTTTTTCATTTAAAATGATTAAAGTATTACCACTTCATTACGGGCGCTGCCCGACCAGATAGCTCCTTGTTTTATCGAACAACACTTCACCAATAATAAATAATGACTTGTTTCTAACGGGTTTCGATTTTCCTTTTCTTTTCTTTCTCTATCGGTGCTGCTGCTACTACTACTACTATTGGTGCTGTTTCTACTACTTTTGGTGCCGTTGTTGTTATTGCTGTTGCTGTTGCTGTTACCCCATTCATTCACCCCGTCCATCGCCCAAATGCAGTCTCAGCCCGATTAATTCGCAAGCGGACAGGAACAAATTCGATAAACATTTTCACAGGAAGATAATAAATTACATAGTTTAACATTAGAAAACATCAGTTGAATACATGATTTCTATGCCATAAGAATATCAGCTATGCTAAGAGGGAAATATGAAAAAGAAGAAGAATAATAGGAAAAACCACTACCACCACCACCACTACCATCCGCTACGCTCTCATTATCGATACGGCTGGTCGCGGCGCAGCCAAACATACACTTTTTCTACATTTCTTCCGTTCGAACGTTGACCGTTCATTAATTTGGTTTTTCTTCATAGTTTTGTTTAAAAAAAATTTCGAAAAAGAAAAAAGAAAAACGAAAATCGTTTTAATTGTTCTTTCAATTTTCTGTTCTGATGGGGGTTTTTTTCTCCGCGCAATAAATGACCTGACCTGAACAAAATATATTTAATAGAAGAAAAGAAAAAAACCAACCACATAAATAATCAACAAGTCTCAATGGATTTGTGGGGACAACAAAATATTACATACACACACACACACTATTTGATATATTTATCTATCTATCAATAACTACACAGTAAACACGATGGTTCTAACGTTTAGAACCACAATATGAAATTTGGCACTAAAATCCATTTGAGTACCATTTGTACTAGAAAAAGTTCAAAATGTTCTAAATCAAAAATCAAAGCTTCATGTATTTATTATAGAACTTTTGGACTTTTTCTAGAGCAAATGGTACTAAAACAAAGTTAAGTGTCAAATCTTAACATTGCTAGAATCTTTGTATTAACTGTGTAAGACAACATATGAAAAATGAAACGCTTTGTCAGTTTGCTGCAGTTATAGAAAATGAAAAAAAAAACAGATAATGATAATAACAGAATAAGTGAAAGAAGAAAAGAAGAACGAACAGGTGGACTAGACAAATTAAACGTAATATTATTATTATTGAATATATAAAACAAAATAAGCGCAACCGCTTTACGAAATTCAAGATTGAAGCAACACAAGCATAATAATATGATGATTGATGAAAAGAAAATTACACATTTAAGCTCTGTATAATAATAATCCATGGAAGAAACACAAAACATATAAGATTGTATTAATGTGTATTTGTCATTAAGAAAAAAAAAACAACAACAACAAACAACGCTATAATTTATATAAATATACAAAATGAAAGAATAATCAAGCACAAATAGGGCAAATAGACCATATATATAGACAATTTAAAGAATCCCACAGAAAAAATAAGGAAATAAATTCGATCGTAACAATGGACGCTTTTCGTTTCTTTCTATTATTGTGTTATTCGTTGAATGGAAATGAAGAATAGAGGACAACTACATCTTTCATTTTGATCGCAATTTTGAAAAAAAAAAACATGTAAATAATACATTTAGTTGAACACAAACGAAATTGTTTGCTTCCGATAAACATACGTTTCAATAAAACAAATAACCCAAGAAAGTGTTTCTTCTTTCATTGGCATCAAAATATTCACAATGCTTTAAAAAAATCACTAAATTGTGATGATGCAAGGAAGATAGAACGCATCATTGCTTTAACATTGCGAAATCGACCATCGCTTATGCGATCGTCGTGGAAAATACATTCATCGGAGTTGATGATTCAACTTCGCCCAAAATGTCCGATTTGCGTCTCGGAATCGATATTTATACCATATCAATTTTTGATACTTGAACAACAAACAAACGATTTACGTTGAGAAAAAACGAATCATTTCAAATTTATTGAATTCAACTCAAAAATTGACGATTCAAAATCGACGGAAAATTCGGCAATTGGTAATCAAACAGCGAGTGTATATTTGCTACTGAGCAAGCCTGAGCTGAGCTGAATTTGCTGACTCTGGCGTCTAAAGCGGTAATTTAAGGCAATTAAGGTGCAAAATTGTCATTGCTAGCTGAAATTCACGTTGTTAATCAATCATATGAATGGTTTGGAGCGAAAATGTAATACAGAAAAGTTGAGCGGAAGAATGTCGATGATGAATGAGCGGAAAAGGGATGGCTATATAGTAAACTGCTAGGGGCATTTCACTCGCATTCGAATACATGATCATTCGTGTACGAATCCTGCATTCGCAAAAAACAGTATAAGTATTTGCATTCGCACCATGTATTCGTACTGCCGCGCGAGCATTCGCGCGACTCCGCATATGAAACGTATTGAAACACTCGCACATGTATTCGTCGCGAATGCGCTCAGTTGCGATGAAGTGTCAAACACAGTCAAACATGTGGAAAGATGTCAGACGTGTTTGAAAAATTACAACGTGCATTAGGTGAATCTCTACCAGAAATTTTACAATTAATTCTCACACATTCTGGATTTAATACAGAAAGCGCATTAGCTACGTTGAATACAAGCATTTGCGGTCGCAGGTGTCCGATTTTTTGCAAATTTGTTTCCGTTTGATTACAATTCTTGATTAACTGTGGCAACTGGATGATAAGCAATCGGTGACCCGGTTTAAATTTAAAATGATTCACATTCTCGTATGATGTTTCTTTGAGAATTTCTGGGTTTTCAATGACATAGTTCTCGATATCCATAATAGCATCGTTGTCAATGGACATTAGAGATGATTCATTTTCAAATGCACAGAATTCCAGGATTTTAATAATATCGGCCGAAATTTTTACATTCAAATATTTTTCTAATTTGAAAATAACATTTTCCAGTCCCTAAAATACAAAACACAACTTAAATTGATATTAAATTTGTATCGAAATAACTATTTACCATTTTGGTGAACTAATGTAAACAATGTAGTCGCAACGATTAACACAACAAATCAATATAGATCTGTCAAGTGCATTCGCATTCGCGCAGCAATATTCGGACGTATTTGCTAATGCGCCGTATAGATACATTAAATGGTTATTCGTACGAATGCGAATATTCGGCACGAATATCAGTATTTGCGAGTGTTTATATTCAAATGCATGGCAAAGTATTCGCGCATTCGTACGAATAGCAGTATTCGCATAGAGTGAAATCCCCCTAGGTAAACTGTATAGTAAACTATAGTGAACTATACAGCTATCCGATTTCATTTGACATTTTTCCGCTCAACTTTTCTGTAAATTACATTTTCGCTCCAAACCATTCATATAAAGGTGGATCTCAGCTATCAAATGGCAATTTCACATCTCAAGTGCCTTAAATTACCGCTTTAGGCGCCAGAGTCAGTAAATTCAGCTCAGCTCAGGCTTGCTCAGTAGCAAATATGCACTATCTGAAATCGACGAAAAATTCGCTGATACAAAATCGATGAAAATTTCGACGAAAGATCCGAAATCATCGAGAAATTCAACAAAAAAAAATCCGACGATCCAAAACCGAGCGCAATCATCTCGCAAGAAGAAAAAACCAAACATAAAACCGTAGAACAGTGAAAAATACATACAGAAAAATATAACCGTAATCACAAGTAAAGAAAAAAATGAAGAAAAAAAATTAAGTAAGCAACATACTTGCAGCGGAGACGAAGTATCTCGAAAAAAGGAAGATAGAGAGAGAAGAAACTAAAAAAAAAATCACATTGATGCGCGATTTTGCCGCTTCATTTCCGCCGCTCAATGACTGACGACTGATTTACACTTTAAATTATATAAAAATAATAATTACAATGTTCGATAAGGATCATTCGATAAGGATTGACGATGACCGACGACCGACGACGTTCACGTTTGTAGTGAAATTAAAAACAGAAGTAAACAAAAAATCAATAGGTGTATGTATTAAAATAGGCGTTAAGAAGAAGAAGAAGAAATATATACATGTATTAAACAAAAATAGGCATAGTTAAGTAAAAGTAAGTTAAATAAAAAGAAAAATCCCACGGGTAACCAGAGAATAGTTGAACATTTTCACTAAGGAACTAAACACATTTCGCCTAAATGTGTATGCTTAGCGAGGGAAAACGACGATGAAAATGAAAATCTATTGTCAACAACAACAAGAACAGAAGAAGAATTAATTTTCTAATTCTTAGAAAACTGAACTGAGCTACACACACAACATTGTAACCTAATAACATAGAATTATACACACACACGACATTATATAAAATAGCAAATTATGATGAAAAAAGAACATCCATTGACACAATGATGCTAGCAAATTGATGCATTTCATTGGCTTCGACAAAATCAATCGCATTTTCGATTGATTTAAATTATTATTATTACACCGTTTCGGTGTGCAACAAGCCAAACCAAACCACTACTGCTCTACATAAACTGTTTTCATATGCAGCAAAAATGGTTGTTGTGTGTTGATCGAATTAAGAGAAGCAAATACTTGGAGTGTTAGCAAATTCGTTTGAAGTATCAGCAACCAAATGTCAGCGTGGCTCATACGTTGCCGCCTCTCATCTCAATAGAATAGATTTTAGCGCCATTTTCCGTTGCAATGCAACAAAACAACAACGCCCACGGCTATTTAGCGCCTTTTCCGTTCCTTACTGAAGTATCCCACGGATGCATTTTCGCACACCAAAATTAAAAGAGAAAACAAAACATTTTTTTTTTCTTCGTTAAACCTAGTGAATTTAAAACGGAATCCCAGTTATTTTACGTACCTACACACACAAATTTAGACAATTTTCATCATTTTTTTCCCTTGTCTTTTTGTTCGGTGTGTACTTTTTTTTCAGTTCAACGCAATCAAATTGCTTTTCGTTGTTGCAAGTACGTCAACCCAAAATGAGAAAAACTAAAGCAGAGCATAAGTTGAATACCAAATGTCTTGAACTATATATATATATATATATATCGTTAACATGAGACTCTCTAGACTGAATGAATAGATGAAAACATGTAGAAAAACTAAAATCGTACATAGCTTTTAAGCAAATCACCTAAAGAATTGTGTGCATTTTTTTTCTTATGTTTAAATTTATATTGGATATGAAGCGACGTTTTTTGTTCTGTTGTTGGTGGATTTTTCCCAGTATAATTGATACAGCCGCCGATGGGCAGACACAGTTTTTTGAAAGTCTTTTTGCCAGATCTATCCACGCGATTATATGTCCATTTATCAGATTTTGTGTGTCACACAATTTTGAAGCGTGATCACATACCATTCAATTTTATTTCCAATGACCCGATGTCCATGAATGAATTCAATAATGAGGACCTATAAATATTTAGATTGTTTATTTCAATGACATCACGGCGCCGCCACCAATTTTTTTTTAAATTGATTTAAATACATTTTTTAAATCATCAATTTTCATCGAACTAACCCATAATTTGAGGGTGGAATGAATTTAGAATAAAATCTATGAACAAAAAAATCAAATTAATGTTGATCAGGATTTCAATTTAATTTTGACTCAATTAAATTTGGCTTAAATTCAATTTCATCTGAAATCGAGACCAAAATTGGATCAAGATCTTGATCAACATTAATTTGAATTGATTTTTTTCGATTATTGATCCAAATTTCACTTTATGAAATTTTCCTTAAATTGGAAAAATATCCAAAAACAAATTGTGTATCGAATTTATTGGGATTTCAAAGGATTTGGATGTAAAATAATTCGATTTCGATCACTAAATCCATTCTTAGCACTACATGAAATGTAGAGCTATTAGATTTTCTTTTAAAATCTACCTCGAAGATCAATTAATTGATTTTTAAATGGAATTCAATGACAAAACAATTCATTTTTGTTCATGGAAATTTCAATTGAATTGCGTCACGACAGATAAAAATTTATTCTTGAACATTTTTTTGTGACGTTGTTTGAAACGGTATTTTTCAAATTCGAGAAGAAAAAGAAATCCCGTTGGATTTTTTCCATGGAAATTTCGGATAAATTTTTTCCGTTACATTTTTTCCAATGTGTTATGAGTGTAAAATGTTGAGAAACTAAATCCCACCAGTTAATATATTCCAAATGATAATAACATTTCTCCAGTAATTTCTGTTTCCATCACAGAAATATTAATCATGAGATTACAAGCATAATAATTCCTAAATGTTGAGTCACATAATTGAATTTCTGATAAATCTTATCTGAAAATATGCGGCTCACTTGTTATCGACAAAACCGACACATCAACATTAAATTTATGCATTGACTCATGTCATTATCAATTTAAAGAGAAAAAAAACAAGAAGCTGAACTCAGCACTAAATAAAATAACACATGTTAAAACGAATGATATGCGAAAAAGACTGAAAAACAGTTTCACACTTTCTATTTATGGAAAATAAATATCTAAAGTTATCCGCACGTGTATCTCGAGAAAATTCTCTATAAAAATGTTAGTTAAAATTTAAAAAAAAATTATCACCTTACATTGGAATCAGCAAGATAGGATTCCCAATTTGGGAATTTAAATTTTCAACTTAATTTATTTTTTTGCGGATTTTTTTCCTTCCCTTTTTGTTCTGATTTTTTTTTCGGATTTTTGGAAGATTTTTTTCCTTTAAATTAATCCCTCACGATTTCATTTTTTTTCCCGTTCGTTTGTTGAATTTGAAATGACGCATGCGATTAAATAAATTTCATAAAAACAGATTGTTTATAAAAAAAAGTTAGATAAAATCAAGTAAATCACATGTTAAAAATATACATGGAATGAATCAGAAGCCATCCCCAAAGAATTATTATGTTTGTAATATGAGTCTCTCGTAAATCCATGTGACCTCATGAATTTAATTTTTTTTTTTAATTTCTTTTGAGATTTTTTTTCCTCTTAGCATTGAAATTTCGATACATTTACGTTGGTTTATGCAAATAGAATTTTCTCAAGGCGGCGTCGCACTCGGCGAAGAACAAACTTAGTCTGATAATAAAATCTACCGATTTAATCTAGAAAATTGGAGCGTAAAAATGCGGTTACAGGCCATTATTGAAGTTCACGTTGAAATAAAGTTCAATCGTCGTTGAATTTCAAGGCTCCCAGACATAATTTCACGGACGGACTTTGTATGATTTATATTGCCCGTCCGGGAGCCAATTTCAACAGTTGAATGGTACATGACACACAATTCCGATATGGTCCAAAATTGTTCGGCCGATCGGCATTCTCTCTGCAAAATAGACGAAAAAAGAAGAAAAATGTTTATTTTTAAATGCGTTTTCAAGCAACAATTTTTTTTTCAAAATTGAAGAAAAACCATAAAATTGACACCGAATGTCCGTCTAAATTGTTCCGTCTACATGGGATGGACATCGTCCATTGGACAGAAAATTAAAAGGAATTAGAAAAAAAATTTAGAAAAAAAATTGAATAAAATTCGATGCACGAATTAAACAAAAAAAAAAAAAAACGAAGAAAAAAACGCAAATTTTCTTCCTCGGCTGCAAAGTATGCGAAATTCGAAAACAAAACGACAAAAAAACCGCAGTGAACAAATCAAATTGGAAATTCAAAATTAAGATGTAAAAGAAAGAAAAGAAAAACCTATACATAAAATATTGTATTGAATAAGGCTTAAGTTATATGAAAAATAAAAATAATATCGGATATCGAGCAAAAAAAAACAAAGCAAACCAAAAAAAAAAACCGGTGGTCAGTCATTTCATTTACTTTCTTCAGGTGGTCAGTCATTCGGCTCGACAGGTTTGTGAATGTTTGTCAAGTGGCGCGCTAAGGGATTATATAAAACTGATTTAGCCATGATTGATGTTGGCCTACTCGGGTCGATAGGTGACTCGGTCTTCGGCAATTCAATCCAATCGATGAATCATCACGATGGTTTGACCTTTGCTGTTATTTCCGTTGCACGTGCTAGAGCATTTCTGAAAAATGTGTCAATTTCCATCGAAAACTACTGCAGAGCATTCATACATTAAGTGCGTGTGTATGTTGCGCAACCCATTTGGAAATCCCCAATGTTTTCTTCTCTTCCTCCGTCTTCTTCGGCGAAAGCATTCAGGAGAGCAAAACAAAGTACATTTCGAAAGGTATACACCAACACCGTCGGAGCCACGAAAGAGAAAAAAAAGTGAAAGAAACCCTGTCAAACAGCTTAGAAAAAGAGAAGACAAAACAAAACCAAGTGAAAAAAGAAACACACAGATCAACGCCGAATGTTATAGCCATTTCTTCGGCTCTGTGTGAAGCAAGCAATCGACATGCGAACGAAGGAGAGCAAAGAAGAGCAAAAGAGAGCAGAAAAGAGCAACGAGGAGCAAATGAGAATGAAAAAGATCGAGAGACGAAGAAGCAAAGGAAAAAAAAGTCCATCGAAGTCGCACATTCCGTGCCACAATTGATATGAATTCCAAGAATATTCAAGTGCAGAGAGTCTGTCGCGCGCGCACAAATTGAATGAATCACATTGCAATCGCTCGGTGCCATCGTAGTGCCTCCTCTCCTCTCCGCCGTCCACGTTGAAAATGTGTGTGTTGGCTCGCGCGTGTGTACGTGCATGTATGTCTGTGTATTCGTGTTGTTTTTGAATTTAGTGACGTATTTTCCCCCCTGGTTCTCGGCCGTGTTGCATTGTTAAGATGTTTATTTACACCATCACCCGATCTTGAAACTGAATAACTGTGAAACGCGATGGAATGCGATTTGATATTAACATTGAATCATCAAACAAATACAAAGTCCATTCAAATGAACCGTTCATCGGTAAGTCATGTGCTGCTGTTGCTGGTATTGGCTTCTGCTGCCGTTGTTGTTTCTGTTGCTGTTTTGCATTGCCAACGATTTGCTAAACAACCAAATCGCCAAACCACTTTCAAACGAAATGAATTTCCATTTCGGCTTTTATGTAACATCATTTGCTATGGAATTTTTCGTTCATTCATTCAATCGTTGATTTCCAATCAGTTTTTTTTTTCTTCGTTGTTTTGCTCCAATCAAGCCCAATCGAGAGTGGAAGACGAAAAAAAATGTGATTTTTATTAGTTTTATTCAAATGCCAATTACGTTTTGCTACGAGAGTCAAACCTTAATTGAGGCATTCAACTGTGGCAAACGGGCTCGAAAAGAAACGAAAACCAAATCAGCCGAACCTATTTGTGAAGAGTTGTGAAATTGGCTGCTCGTTTGAAAGTAGTAAACATCAATAAAAATAACCTCATTTCGGCATTATTTTTTCCGAGAAATTTGGATTTTACTGTGTTGGTGCGTGTATGTGTTTGTGTGCTCAGTGCGCGCTTTTATTTGATCGTTTTGATATATTCTCAATAACATTATCTTGATTGTTCGTCAGAAATCGCGCGAATGTGAGCCGCACAATCGATGTGTTCTGCAGAGCGAGTGAGAGAGAGAGAAAGAGACGGGGTTTTGGCGTGATGACTCATCAGCTCAACAAAAAAGCATCAAAACAAAACAGCAACAACAATTTCAAATAAACACACACACACAAGCACGCACTTGCGTTTTTTCCCAAATCGCACGGCGGCCTGAAAATAACAACATTCGACCAACAAAAAATAATACACACAATTCGATGAATGCCGAAATGCACGTATCTATCTCCACTTGCGCAACACTGCGGCGTCGATAATGCCATTAAAAACCGAAAACATATGCATACGACGGCGGCATGTTCGATGGTTGAAGAGAGAGAGAGAAAGAGACAGACACTGACGGAAATGCCATAGTAAGTGGAGAAGCCGCAAATTCTCAATTCTATGCCAGCCAAAGCTGCGATTCGAATGTGGTGTGTGTGCTTTTTTCACTTCCGATGGAATGCGGATTCAAATTTGAATTTTACATGCATTTGCTACTGAAGCCTCACATCGTGCGTGTGCGTTTATTTGTTTTGATTTGCACATTTTTTTGTTTCACACATTTTTTTCATCCTCTTGGGGATCATTACACCCACACATGGAGATTTCCAACATTTCTTAGAAACTTTTGTTTCCTTGCACTTTGAACAACCATTTTTCGCAAAATTGAACGAATCTTCTATTCTAATCAGAAGTCAAGCCATATTTCGACTCTCATGTTTGAGTCTCATTTCAACTTTTCATGATTTCTTACTAGACTTTGTAAAATTTCTGGTGAATTGATATGATTACTTATGAAATAGTTTTTTTTTTAAATGAGAAAATGAAATGGCCCATGAAATTTATCTCAAAATGAGCGGAAATTCTTGCGAGTCCATTTCAAATATCCAATTCGAAACGGTAGAGAAAAAAAACAACAACAAAGATCAAATGATTTCGGTGGAAATGAAACAAGAATGGGAGTCTATTCCTATTGACTATTTATGAGAGTGAGAAAGAATGAAAGAGAGAGAAAGAGAGCAAGAGACTGCGAGCGAGCGAGAGAGAAAGAGGTCAAGAGCGAGCGAAAGAGTGAGAGCAGGAGAGCAAGGGAGCAAGAGAGCGAAAGAGCAAGAGTGGAAGAGCGATAGAGATAGACAAAACATTTGTATCTGAACGTTCGCATATTGAGCTATGATGTGGTGTATATCATTTTGTGTCTTTTTGTTTGCAAACGTTTTTGTCGTAAACATCGGTCGAAGTGCCTAGGCAATAGAGCTGTGTACATTGGAAAATATGTAAATCGTTGGTCAAGGTCAACACAAAACAAATCGGCACATAGCAAAACGAACAAAAAAACACAAACACACACACACACCACAAATCATCGACATGCATCGCGATTCGAGAAGCAAAGTGAACATACAAAAACGTGTTCGCAACGGCCATGATTGTATCAATCGTTTCTATGAATTGTTTGTCGCTTAATCCAGCGGCCGTTTACAAAGAAATATACCCCCCCCCCCCTCCCCATAAACAATTTATTGGAAAACACACAATTCACTTTTTATATCCACACTGCGCTCGTTGAAACGGTCTCCCTCCCCCATTCGATGCATTCACTTTTGTTTTTGTTTTCAATCGGAAAATACCGACACTCGTCTATGGCATAGATAGACTCTATGCAAAGTGTTTTGTGTGGTTTTTTTTCCTTCTTTCTCTCTTTCAAAACAGTGGTTTTGTTTCTTTAATGGGCCTAAAATGCCTGACGCTCTTAATATAGTGGAAATTCCAACACGTGTTGCGCTATTCCAAATGCAGCGTGTGCACCGTTGCTGCTTCTGCTGCTGCTGCACGGCACACAACATGCACACTTTTTTTCCATTGAAATATGGTGCAACTGCGAAGCGCCCACTAAAGAGACACCACTTTTCTAATCCATAGCCTTTTGTTTTGGATTTTTTCACAACCAATTAACAATCTTTTCACATTCCATTGAAACTAAATAATTAATATCACAATTGAATATTGATTATTGCAATCGGTTTCGGCAGAAACCAACGCCGCCAATCACAAAAGGACACACCGTTAAGATTCATTACCGATGCCATCATTAAATTTGAAGCAGTTTTTTGTTGTTGTTGGGATTTCGATTAATCCATGGGAATTATTGGCTTCGAAAAGAAAACAACACTTATGCGCATTCTTCACCTTTTTCTCCCTTTCCATCATCTTTGAATTAAGTGAACAATTCAAAATTTGGACTTAATTGCTAAAAAAAAATACGTTGGGTTTTCCGTAATATTTCAATGTCTTCCTTCCCCCGCCAATTCCGATTCTTTCGCAGAATTTTGCGTAATTCTTTTCATTCGTTGTTCTAAGCATAGCTTGTGGTTTCGCTCACCTTGTATTCAAACGGATTTCAGTTTCCCGTTTTTTTTATTCGTTTTCTGATCAATTTGAAATTCAAACTTTGAACTCTAAAGTATACCCAAAGTTATTGCTGCCCATATTTCTTTCAATCTATCATTCTTTCGATTGGATTCTCATTTTGATTCAAACATTCGGACGTTCGAACAATCGAGCATTGGAACACTCGACCACTCAAACACTTCCTGATCTTTGACACTTTCGATCTACCCAAAACAAATCACATTGGGTAATAAAACTTTAAGCGAAATTCAATCGATTCTTTAGCTTCAAGCAAAAATCGCAGTTCAATGAAACAGAAGTCGTGAAACAGAGCTCTGAATTTCTCAAACAGAATGTAATTCGTTTTTTTTTGGTCAAACGTTTTATTTTTTTTTTTTGGATCTATCCGTGTTTCTATATATGGATCATTGATTGGAACAATCGACTTAAAATGCGTGCATTTGATTAAAAAAAAATCCTTCAATTATTCATCAAAAATGCTTCAAAAACATCAATTGAAAGTGTTTTAGTTGAAAATAAGCGATTGAAAAAAATGTCAGTCGAAAATCGGGGATCCTACGGTCTACAAATGCTAAATCTGTTGATAAAAATCCGCGATTTGCGATTTGAAACATGTCGAATATGAATGAAACACCTTTTTGAATGTAACGTTTCGTATTTCCATTAGAAAAAAAACACATCACCTCATTGAATGTTGCTCATTCTCTACGCCGATCATTATGTCATCGATTCAATTTATTGGGTTGACGTAAAAAAAAAATGTCATCATTCTGAATTTGAACTTCACAACGATGATTAAATTCATTCAGTATTTTGGTTTTGTTGCCGTTGTAGTCGTCGTTGTCGTCGTTGTTCTGATATTGAATGAATGAATCGGTTTGTTTTGTGTGATCGCTCGCCTGCGCTCGCTCATTCGCGCTGTTTTCGCTATTCGGTTATCGCATATAATTGGAATTTATTTGCCACCTGGTCTATACTCGAAACGTGTTTGTTTTGTGACACAAAATATATGTCAACATTGGATAGGATCAATGATATGATATCTCGAAGTGACAAAAAAGAAAAACATTCCGCGAAATGCGGTTTATCATGAACAAAAAAAAAATAGAAATAGTCGAATATGGTGTGGTTTAACTTGAGAGTTATATTTTTTTCATCGCAACACCGTGCGGAAATAACAAAGAAAATCGCCCATGCACAGTGCGGGCATTTCCAAAGTTGGGGAAAAAACGATGTGCCTAGAACAAGGAGATGCAGGGAAATTTTCAGCATAAATTCCCAACATCAAATCCTGCTTTGCAAATCCGCAATTGCAATCAAGTGCAACATAAGAATTGCACACTTGTATGTTACAACAAGTAGCTAGGGCGCGTGCATTTGCACACATACACATACACAGCAACCGACGGCGACGGACGACGACGGCGACAACAACGACGAGAAATTTTATCGATTGACGTTTTGCACGAAACGAAACGAAATGAAAAAAGAACGAAGAAGAACAATTGCAAATAGGCGAAAAATGCCTGCTTCGTGAATTCCGTTTTGATGTGTGCTGCTCTGCTGCTCGAGTGTATCGCATTCGACGCTGTTGTTGCTGTTTTTCGTACATTCTCGAAACAACGGGGCCTAATGCATATATACATTTGAACTGCGTAGCAGCAGCGGCAGCCGAGAACACTACAAGATTTAACACGTTTGAGGCAAAGTAAAACAAGCGCACAGCAAAATATACAAAGTGTGCGCGCTTTGGCACTTGGTCTTTTTCAGTTGCTCGGTGTTGTGTGTCTCGTTATATGGTATTTTGTGTGTCGGTCGGTCTCTCCGTTCGTTCTGCTGCTGCTGCTGCTGCTGAACATCAAGTGATGGCACACGTACACGCACACACACAAACCCGCAAACGATAAACACACATACACGCGCATGGCCCATCCATACAATCACATCACCGCAACATGCAACCAATCACCGTGCCCCATTCACATAGCATGACATCATCGTGCACCAATCGTACGGCGTGAATGTGACGCGATCAAATATTTTTAGCCAAAATGAGTCATATGTAAAAACGACGATGAAATACAATTTTGCCTTCATTCGCATTTTAGCTATTGACTCGTCAACAATCCACACACCACACAACAATTTTTTCCGTTTCTGTCCACACAGTCTTCTCGTCGTAGTCGAACAAAATTGATCATCATCGTGTGCCACACAACGTACAACTGAACACCGAAGGAGAAGCAACAACAACAAAAAAAAATATCAAAAACGAAATAATATCAAGACGAAAAGAAGAGAGAATAATAGTAAAACGTGCGCAATTGAACGAGTAAGACATATACTCTCAGTTGAAGTTATGTGTTTGAATCGTATAGATTTTCCAATAAAATTTTTTATTTAGTCGCTCCGCGTATCCGTGTGTGTTTACTACAATTGCAGTCAGCGATTTTTCTTTCTTTATTTTCAATTATTTGACGTAATTTTTTTTTATTGCATTGTTTTGTGAAACGAGAGGAAAAGAAGAAAGAAAAAAAAATTATTGAAACAAAGATTATTTCAATTGAGATTGAGATTAGTGTTGGTATTAAGTGCTTTTTTAAAGAAAAAAAAGAAGAAATACGTGATTTGAAATCAGTGGAAAAACAAATTTGTTGAATCGAAAACCGATACAGTTGAACCGGGGATCAACCCATGCATATTTTGCGACACAACATCGATACAGACACCAAGAGAAAGAGAGACAGAGAAGCAACGACAGAAGAAGAAACAAGAGAGAAGGAAAAAAAATAACACTAAGGTGATTACAGTGTGTGTGATAAAAAAGAAGCGAGAAAAAACGAAATACCCGAAATATACGATAATGAAATTAGTGCTTGTTGTTCGTGTGTCTTGACAATAATCCCACTTGATTGCGCCCCGAATATTTGGTCGCCGTTGTTGACGTCGTCGTCGTCGTCGTAGTCGCTATTGTTGCAAAAAAGGTAAACATGGATTTTGCTTAATTTTTTTTTCTTCGTTCTCACTTTGACACATTGGCGAATTGTGAATTTGGGTTCTTATTTGCTTCTTTCGTTTCGTTGGTTTTGGTTTTGGAAAGAGCGCAAAATGTCATTTGGCCAACGACGGAATTGAACGAAACCGAACAAGAAGTACGAACCGAAAACAAGACAACGAGAAGAGAGAAAAAAAAATACTTCAGCCATTTCGAATGTAGGCAACAAAACGACGACCGAAATCAACCAAAAAAAAAAAATATAATTCGCTCTTTGTTTACGTTTTTATTGGCGTTTTGCGGTGCGATTTGGGTGTGTGTCGCGAAAGAGCGAGCATGTTAGCGCGAGCATTCATTCGTTGGTTAGTTTTTTTTTGTTTCTGTTCGTTGCTCGAAATTAGCTATTAAATATTAAAATTCGCAGTAACAAAATTCGTTGCTGCCACTGTTATTGTTGCTGTATTCCTTTTGCGATGACAGAGAGCGAGAGAGGGAGCGCTCGCGATATGTGTGCCTTTGAAAAGTGCGAGTTTTTATAGTTCTCTCCGTTCGCTGTTGTTGTTTCGGCCAAGCCATGTGTGTGTGTGTGTGCGTGTTTTTTTTCTCGTTCATTTCAACGCATTTTTGTTGTTGTTCAATTCAGTTTCAATGTTCTTTGCTCGGTGCTCAAATGGAAATATCTTTTGCGACAAAATAAATAACAACAACAATAACAATGCGAGTGCTGGGCAGAGACATGATACTTATGTATGCGCGCTCACTTACACACACATATGCAATGGCGAAGGTGCTTACAACGTATGTGTGTGTGTGTGTGACTACATGTGATATCGAGTGGTTCAACGAGCAAGGAACTAAACAAAGTAAACAGCGTAAAAACCCCACTTGTAGCCATATACAATTTATGCATACGCTCTTTTTACACTCGGCTGTCGTTGTTGTTTTTTTTTTCTTTCTCATTCGTTTGTTCGAATTTAAACGCGTCGTTTAATGAAATTTTTGTACAATAATATTGCGAATGGATGAATAGAAAAAATTGAAGATTCTATTGCAGAATGGAACTGCACTGGCTGGTAGAAAAAATGTGTTTCATTTCGATTCATTCGTTGGTTAGTGTCAACACAGTGTGCACATACACAAGATACGATGTGTGCGAGCAGACATATGATCTCACAAGAATACACACAATTTTCTAGAACATTTTTTCGTTGTTGTTGCTCCGAATGTCATTCGGAATGACAATTCGCATACGGATACACGAGACATTTTCGTGTTTGACAAATGGCGCGCGCACTCTGTGACCACTTTTGTAATTAATCAATTGTTGCAAACAATGCGAGACGATGAAAGAATGCCAACGATTCTCGATGGTGTACTAAGCACTAACAACAACAACAACAACAAAAACAATGTGCGCTTTTGTTTTTGGGCATGCTTTGGAACAGAATGAATCGCGAGAGCGAGCGATTGGGAGCGAATGTGTGAGCAAGCGAGAGCGAGAGGACGAAAGGTTGGGCGAACGATTGGGCGAACCATTGAATGAGATAATAAGTGAGTGAGAGAGAAAGAACGAGACAGAGCGGGCGAGTGAGTGTTAGAGAGAGAGAGAGAGATCGAGGCATAGAAACATAGATACATAGACAAGGAGCCAGATTGAGCAAGAGATGAGGTCAACAACAAACAAACAACATCAATGCCAAGAACAAAAGACAAGTGGCAAACAGCAGCCACCAGTCAAAAACCTACAAAACTTTAGCCGACAAAAAACACAACACACCACAAATCTCAGATCATTCATTATACTGATTCAAGGATTAAAAACGTTCATCACGTTTAAATGCCTGTCAATAACACACACATACACACACACACACACAACGTGCGCAATGGCAATGCTCGCCTCTGTTGTTTGCACCATGCAAAAGGGCAATACGACACAAATTTAATACCGATTGAAGATAATTCTTTGGATTTGAATATTTGGTGCGGTATTTGACCGCATTGACCCTCAGTCATATACACATACCAATCGCACTCCATTAAGCTGCTGTTTAACTTTGGCCAAATCCAAATGGAAAAGTTTCGCAAGATATCAAAAGACATTTTATGATCCAAACTGTTGTTGATCACTTACGACGCAATATTTTGCGATATCGAATCCGCACGATATCGAACAACAACAGCAATTGCATGCGACAAGTTCTAACAAAGATAACGGAGCCAATCTAAAGTCCAAGGAATTAAAGCTACTACGAGTTTCAAGAAATTCATTTTTTTTTTTTCTTCAAACACTTTTCGGCTGATTCTTGTCCTGAAGTTGTTTTAAAAAAACATTTTCTTATTTTTCTGGGAATTTAAAAAAAAATTCTTCCAAAAAAATAATTTTTTATCAAATTCGTGATAAAATTTCGAATCAAAATTCTTAAAAAAAAAAAACCCAAAACAAAGTTTAAGAAAAAGTTGCCAAAAATATTCCAAGGAAAAGCTTCAAAAAGCGGTTGCACAGAGCCAAGATCGAACGCTACAGCATACATCACTCCGTCCGGTTTTTAATTTCAGAAACGAAAGAAGAAGAAAAACCGCGACTGTAATAAAGCGTTAAACTTTATACACAATAAACTAAATGAAATTGACCAGCTAAATGCATTACAATCGCTCTCGGTCGCTTGGTCGCGCGCGTTTGCGCTGGAACGATAGAAACGGAACAGTCAGTCGAGATATAGATAGAGTCAGAGATTACAAGCATACAAATGAAATGAAATAAAATTAAAAAAAAAACGGACAAAACGAACGAACGGCGACGTTGACGTGGAATTAAAAGTAATACAGAGAGCAAGAGCAGAGAGCGCGAAGAGAAATATAAAAGACGAGAAGAGAAACAAAAAATAACCCATTTATTACTTGGTTGCTTATATTTTTTTTTTGACATTTTCAATTAATATTCACAAATGTTTTTCGAGTGTGTGTTTGCGTATGTATGAGCAAACATACAGTGCGAGCAGTAGTGTTGCTTCGATTTTACTTGAACAATTTGGCGAAAAATAACGAGGCGTGAGTGTATAATAGCCTTCCATCGCCAAACCAAATATATACAAATCCGTTTTAATGATCGAAACATACACGCGAACTGCACAACATCACTGACACTCGCACTCGCACTCGTGCACACACACGGTCTCGTTCGAGTGTGCAAAGCCAATGTGAACAGAAACAACAACAAAAAATGGCCAAGCTCACATATATATACATATATATATCGAACTATATCAAACATATTAACTGGAAACGAACAACACAATGTCGACGACGACAACGGTTTTGAAGAGATCGCTCGCTCGCTTGCTCGCTCGCGCCAACAACAAAATTCAAATAAATTTCAAGCATTAACGCGAACCAGCGCATATATCGTTTTATTTCGTTTTGCTGCTGCTGCTGCTTCGTTTTCATTTCAAGTCATTTTAATGGTGCGGCTGGCGAACAGCTGCCGTTTAAATATTTAGTCAAACTCTACTTAATTTTCTCTTTCGTTTTTTTCTCTCATTCCGACTACAGATATTCGCAATAAATCAGCTGAGACTGTGGAATACACACAATAACCGCGTGCGGAAATTCCAGTGTGAAAAGCATCAAACAAGTCATTGAATTTTTTTTTCGGCTTGACAGGACATTACAGGACAGGGCTCCCCCTAAAACATACACAACAACAGACACACACACACATCGGCTGCACGCATGAAAACATTGATAATGCACGAAAACCGAAACAATACCATGGAATCGTTTTATGAAGAGAATGGTTCGTATGTCGCCAACGCGACACAAGCCCGAATGCAACGCAATCTCAAGCGACCGGAAAGTTTGGATCTAAATTTAGCCGTCAACAATAATAAACAGCCGGGCGGTAAAAGAGCCAGATGCAATCAAATTCCAGCCGTTCTCGCCTCACCCGATATAAATATGCTGAAATGGGGCACACCAGACCTCGAAAAATTCATCATGTCCACCGACAATCCGCTACAAACGCCCACACCAAGTATCTTTCTTGCCATTAATCCGGATTGTCAAGTTAAGGTAAGGCTGTTGTTGGTATTTTTTTTTTGACTTTTGGCTTTTTGTCACCGATCGGATGACAATTGTTGACTCGCCGATTGGCGACGATAACGACAAAATTAACCAACAATTTCGTCGACATTTTTTTTTCGAAATTCTTTGTTGTTGGAAATTTTCGCACATTTACCGATCGAAAAGCTAGAAATTTATTTCTCTGTAGTTATTTGTCATCAGAAATATATTGATCGAACTGTGTTCGAATCGAACACCTATGGTATTTTCAAAAACCTCTGGGAAGTTCTTAATGAGAACCAATTATCCTGGACAATCTGGCTTTGTGTGTTATACCATCACATCTAACCATTGTTTATGCCAGCCCAATTGACCTTTTGTTGTGAATTCGCATGCAAATTGGTCAATACTTTTTGATCAATAAAAGCGAAAATGTTCAAGGAAAAGTGAAAACAATGTGAAATTTCATTGGAGTCTTATGGAAAATTCGATCTTTTCTTGAAAATTAAAACATTTTTCTTATGAAAACTCGAAATCTTCTTCATATTTGATCTTCTTTTTTTTTAGGTTAAACGGTTTTTCGCTCCAAGGGAAAACTTCCAATTAAATTGTGCTAAAATGAAAAGAAAATCCATGCTAACGAAATCATATCTTTCCCAAATTACAGGAAGTAACAGACGAGCAAGAAGAATATGCGCAACCATTTGTGGACGCCCTAAATCATTTGCGAAACAGTGATAAGGCTCACCTCCACCCTCATCCAGCGGCACACCACCAACAACAACAACAACAACAGCATCAGCAACAGAATAATTTAAGTGAATACACCACAGCAGGAACGACCGGTGCCATTATGGCGAATCCAGCCATTACCACGACATCAGCCACCACATCGACGATATTGAGTAAAGTCGGTATGAGTGGAGGTTCGGTGACATACACAAATCTAGGTAAAACGAGAAAAAAAACAACAACCATGTGAAACCAGTGGAACATTCTTCGATTCGATCCTAAAAAAGCCATTTGCTTATCTAAGGCAACACGAAAAAACAACTTCGAATTCCAGTCTCATGCATTTTTTTTTTTTCGAAGCAAAAACCGAGTTTGACCCAAAATGAAATGAAGAAGACGAAGAAACAAAAAAAAAGTGAAGAAATTTTTTTTTTCGTTGGGTAAACAATTGTTGAAACAATGTGTCTGCATGAGGTATGCAAGTGGAAGGTCATATGATGAGAAACAGTAGAGATTCACTTCGGTTTGTTGTCATTGAACGTAGGAATTACGGATAGTTCAGTCAGTTTCTCTCTTTCCCTCGTTCGCACATTCGCTACGGACGAGCACCGATAAAAGCCGAACGAATGAGATCGAGAGAAAAGACGAGACGATTAGACTCGAACGAGGAAACACGGACAGGGAAAAATTCCTGCATTTTACAATTGATAAAATGATGTCGCCAGTCAATTTTTATCACCAGTTTCTCGCCATGAAGCCATTCGCCCTAAATTGCTTTCCGAAATTGTTTTGTTCTCTCTTCTTTTTGACTCGCTGTCTGTTTACGCCATAAAATTCGTCAAATGAAACAAAACAAAGTATCGTGTTTGCTTGTAGGTGGCTATTGCGAGGTACCAAATCATCCGCCACCTATTCCAATGGCCAATGAACAACGCGTAGAAAAACGATTATTACTTTTTGATTCCAATTTCATTGCGCCAAAACACAAACAACTACATAGCATGGCCCGACGCAAAAATTCAATTGAATCGGGGAGCGAACCGAAGAGAGAGAGAGAAAAAGCACACACTGCAAATGAACGCATTGTGGGCGGATTTGGCGGCGATAAACTTCCAAATTATTTATTCCACATCAATATTCGGATACAGACAAAAAAACGATTGCGACTCGCTCTGCCATTGAAATGTTCAACGAATCGATGTCATTTTTGAACCGTCAAACAAATTGCGATTTTTTTTTTTCAAGATCCAAATTGATTGTTTGGATTTTTTTTTTAGATTGAATTTGATTTTAAAAACTCGAATTCGTTCTTTTTAATATCCAAATGATTTTGTAGCACAATTCTGGTTCAATGAATACTAGTCATTTGATGGCTCACGAAGTTTAAACCGATATTTTTGAATGGATGTCTCATTTGATCGCTCACTTCAAATCTAAGATATTATAAGTTCGGGGCATTTCCTACCATTTCAATCGAGGGGCGTATTTGTCGTCCCCAGTCAAAAAAGACTCGCATAATTCTCATGTAGACTCCCATTGACTCGCATAAACTCTTATCAATTTGAACACGAGTCGCCACGAATCATAGCACCGACATTTTTTGGCCAATCTACGAATCAGCTACGATCGATATGGAAAAATTGTATTCAATTATTCCCAAGACTCGTCCGGCCGACTACATTGTTTCTTTCTACCTTATGAGATCATCAACTAGAACAATCATCAACTCTTGGTGCCAAGTTGAGGCTCTCAACTAAAGCCAATGGTTTCAAATGAGCAATCGATTTTTCCTTATTTTTTTAAAAATTGATTCGTTGATTCGACTTGAGTTTGCTCGGTCCAAAGTCATACCAAACGATTTAAGAGAACTGACTCCCGTACAAATAGACTTGAAATTCATTTAGTGACTTGAAAGACTCGCAATGGCATTAAAATCGACTGGTTTGGTGTGAAAAGGATTTAAAACAAAACTGATTTTCGCAGTTTCGCACAAAGAGGCTTAATTATTGTGTGTTAATGGCTTAAATCGGGTGAATTTTAGAATTAAAATACCTTTTCGTCTTCTTTTCAATCTAAAAACCGTCAAGAGATCAGCTCTTCGCTCTCAAGATGCATTTAGCATCAAAATTGGTTCTCATCGAACCACCCACACAGACATAATTTGCATTTAACACAGATACGTTTTGTATTGATCTCAAGCATACAGACTCCTCAATTTGGGCTTCTTGTAAAGCAAATGTTGGGATTAATTCGGATCAGGTTTCCAATCTCAGTTCGAATGAAGAAAAAAATTGAGACTTGGTTCACCATTTGAAATTCCCTCCCTCCAAAACAAATCTAAATAGAATTCTAACCATCAAGCATTTTTCTTACAGACGATAGTTACCCAGTTACAATAAAAGATGAACCGCAAACCGTACCAAATTCACCGCCAATGAGTCCAATCGATATGGAGAGTCAGGAGAAGATCAAATTGGAGCGTAAGCGTCAACGGAATCGTGTAGCTGCATCCAAGTGTCGCAAGCGAAAATTGGAGCGCATTTCAAAGTTGGAGGACAAAGTGAAGCTGCTCAAAGGTGAAAACATTGAACTGAGTAGCGTGATCAAGCAACTCAAAGAGCATGTGATTAAACTGAAGCAAGAAGTCATTGAGCACATCAACAATGGTTGCATGATACCAGCATTCACACCGAACTATCTTCTTCGGCCCACAAAAGCAACTGACAGTGATATTAAATAAACAAAACAAAAAGAAGAAATGAAGAAAAAATTCTAGCGTTAAACAAAAAATCTGTTTTATCTGTTTTTTTTTTGTATCGAATTATTAAGTGAGCAACAAAATGCGAGCGAGAGAAAGGAAGAGGGGAATAGCAAAAGAAGAAGAAACGAAAGAAGAAGAAAAAAACTTGTAGAAACAATAAAGCACGTGAATTCATTCGTACTGGAATGCGATGGAATCGATGACGGTACAAAATGAAACGTCCAACAGATTATGCGAATCGTGCACGATCACCCTATCAAATTGAAAAAAAAATTCTTCTGAGTTGAACTATCATTTTTTTATATATATATTTTCCTTTGTTTTTTTTGTTTCTCGAAAATTTCGTCTCATTCTCTCGTTTCATTTTTAATTATTATTATTCAAGATCGGTTCTTACACCAATATGTATTTCAAATAGCATGTACAATACTATTTAATGGTAATTATTGCTTAGTTATAAAATTCTGTTTCTAAATTAAGGAAGAAAAGTCAATATATTTCATACTGATTAAGTGTTTTTTTTTGTCCATGAATGAAAATTGTCCACACATTTTTTTTCTCTATAAAGCAACAAAAAAGAAATTGTTTTTTTTTGTTCGTTCGATCGATTTTGTTTCCATTTTTGATTAGATTTTTTTTGTTTTTTCGTTCGAAGGGGATGGAGAGGGTCAACACACACATATTTCATTTCCCTTTTCGCTTTGCTCTATGCTTTCGATGTGCATTCGATATTCGTTTTTTTTTTGTTCTTGCTTCAGGAGTTTTGAAAAATATTGACATGAAATCAGATATAAAAAGAAATTATATTCGAAACGCTTTTGGCATTTTTTTAGGGCTTTTGTTTTGCTAGGATTTTTTTTTTAAACAAGAAAAATTCACAAAGCATGGGAAAGAATACTAAACATACAAACGAAAAAGAGAAAAATTGATTAAATTGACGTTGTCTGTGATATTTATTAAACATAAGATCAAGTCCCCGTTTCAACACTGGCGATGACCATTTCGCTACGCCATTTTTTTTTAAATTGAACAACACGAAGAAACAAAACAATATATACACAAGAATTACACCAATTCAATGAAGAAGAGATAAACGAATACTATTTTTTAAATAAAACGGTGTAAATCGTCAATTTTTTTTATGGAATCATCGACCTATCACGTCTGAACACCATCACAAATTGAAACGAAAACAGAGAGACAAAAACAATTACTTCAATATACAGAGACACATTTCATTTGAGTTTTGAACAAATACATTGTTTTTTTTTTAAACCTCTCAACGCCTCAAACGCCTCAAACGCCTAAAACTCTCAATACTGTCTACCTGCAGGTAGAATGGTTAAGATTTTTGTTTATTTGATTTTTTTTTTCGTTCAAATATACCAAAATCGAGATATCCAAGACAGAATTTATTTTCCTTCATACAAATTTTTTCTCAAGACATCTCAATTTTGGTTTATTTTTACGGGAAAAAAATCAATTGTACCAAAAATCTCAACCATTCTTCCCTGTGTGTGCACAGACAATTTGCCATTTTAAAATGATACATAAATTTATGTCCGGGCGACAATTTTGTAGCAAAGACAAACATTTTAAAAACGAAAAATGTTCCAGGCAGAAAATACCAGAAAGAATTTTTTTTCAAAGCGAACAATTTACAGGAGAAAATTATCAGAAAAAAAACTCCGAAAAGAACAGTTTTTGAAAATAGGAAAAAGTTCGAGAAGAAAAGTTGGCAAACAAGAAAAAAAATTCAAAATGAAAAAAATTTCGATTTAAAATTTGCTGTTCCATGAAGCATAATCTGAAATTCGGATTCAAAAGAAAACTAGAAATCAAATTGGGGTTGAAATTGAAGATAATTTTCGAAGAATTAGGATTTAAAAAAAACAATTTTGTCCTCAATTGTGGCCTCAAAAATAAAATTGACTTCATGGAACAGTTCTAAATTGATTCGATGGAAAAAAAATGGCAAAAAAATTGCAAAGAAGAAATTCCGAAATAAAAAATGCTATAAATATAAAAAAAATGCAAAACAAACTCTTCAATTCAAATACAAATTTGAATTTTTTGAGAAAAAAAAAAACGAAAAATGAACATTCAAATCGAGAAATTTCGAAATTTTCCGAGAAAAAAAATTGTGTTTCGATCGGAATTCAAATGAAATGTCTCTTTTAAAGATGAAGTGACGGCCTGAGAAGAAAAACCTTTCCTACAAAACCTGTGCGCAGAACACAAACACAGAAATTTTTTCGTCAAAAGGCAAACAGCAAATTTGCGAGCGCAAAAACCTAATATATTTACAGCGAGCGCAAAAGCATAACAGGACTACTTGTACGGAGTTTGCATGCTAGTAGGCTTGTTATACTTTTGCGCTCGCTGTAAATATATTAGGTTTTTGCGCTCGCAAATTTGCTTTTCGCTTTTTGACTAAAAAATTTCTGTGTTTGTGTTCTGCGCACAGGTTTTGTAGGAAAGGTTTTTCTTCTTAGACCGTCAGTTCATTTGTTGACGTTATTATTATTATTATTATTCTGCACCATACAGCGTTTCTTCGCCAGAGGTGGTTTATTTGATATAAATATTATTTTGTATATTTACATTATATTACATTAATTAAGTTGCTATATTACTTTTCCGTACACAACGTGTCAAGGGAAAGTATAGGAATTGGTCCCGAAAACTTTTTTCGCAAAATTGGTTTAGATCATCATAAAAACTCATGAAACGCGTAGAAAATCACTTTTTGAGACACTTTTCCGTTCGTGTGCCGTCGTCGTCGTTGTCGTCGTTGTCGTCGTTGTCGTCGTTGTCGTCGTCGTAGCTGTTTGTAAACACGATAACCCAAAAAATAATTGAGATAATCAAAATCTGGAAATGCC